GCCTTCCCCCCCTCTTCTCGGATTCTTGCCAGGGCATGAATTAGAGAGAGAGAGAGAGAGAGAGAGCCTCTCCGTGTCTTAGAGGCAGGTGAGCGAAAACTCCAGGTGGCTCAAAGCATTTCGCCCCCTCCCTTCTCAATTCCAGGTGAACGACATCAACTTTGAGAACATGAGCAATGACGATGCCGTGAGAGTACTGCGAGAGATCGTCCACAAGCCGGGGTAAGTTCTGCCAAAGCCCGCCCCACCCCGCAGGTGGGAGGAGGGGGCTGCCGGCCGTTCCCCCCAAAACGATCCCTCCCTCTCCTTCCGTCCGTCCTTCCTTCCTTCCTTCCTTCCTTCCTTCCTTTCTTTGCAGCCCCATCGTGCTGACGGTAGCCAAGTGCTGGGACCCCTCCCCACAAGGGTATTTCACCCTGCCCAGAAGTAAGTCATCCGTGCCCGTCCTTGGCCGCAAAGGCGGGGGGGGTTGGTGCTGGGGGGGGGCAATCTGTTGGGTTGCCCCCACTGCTAAAGAAATTGGGGGAGCGGAGGGAATCCCCAGGGAAGGAGGGAGGGGGAACGGGACGAGGCAAGGGGAGGTCTCAACGTATTGTTCCCGTCCAGATGAGCCCATCCAACCCATCGATCCGGCCGCTTGGGTGTCCCACTCGGCCGCTCTGACGGGGGCCTTTGCCCCCTACCTGGGCAGCAGCTCCATGAGCACCATCACCTCGGGGACGTCCGTCACGGAGACCGAACGTGAGTCTGATGCGCCTCGCCCTCCCCACTTGGAGATTTCCAAGCTGCCGCACTACTCCCTTCTCCCTTTCTATGGGCCACTCTCAAAAGGCCATAGAAATATTTTACGGGTTGACATTCGGCTTCCCTCGCTTCTTGAAGGTGACCTGTACAACATAAAAAAGAAAACAAAGGACTTAGGGTTGCGAACCCCCCCCCCCCCAAGACTTGGTTGGGTTTCCTGCATGGAACCTTGTCCCAAGGTGATCGGCTTGGACGTTCCTTGGAAAATGGGGGGGGGGCAGACGAGGGATCCCCATGGGGAACTCCCGGGGGACGGTGACTGATCCCGTCCCGTTTTCCCGCTTAGGCTTTGACAACTTCAACCTCTCGATCCACACGGACATGGCTTCCGTCACCAAGGCCATGGCGTCCCCCGAGTCCGGCTTGGAAGTCCGCGACCGCATGTGGCTGAAGATCACTATCCCGGATGCTTTTCTAGGTATCGGGGGTGGGGTGGGGTGTGAGCCCATGGTAATGGGGGCTGAATCAGTGGTGGGATTCAAATATTTTTACTACCGGTTCTGTGGCCGTAGCTTGGTGTAAATCTCACTGGCTGGGGGATTCTGGGAGTGGAAGTCCACAGGTATTAAATCAGGGGCCTCCAACCTTGGCAACTTTAAGCCTGGTGGACTTCAACTCCCAGAATTCCCCATTCAACCATCCCTGTTGTTCTTTTTTCCCTCCTACTCCCTAGAGTGGAGAGATTGCAAAATACCCCTCTATAAAGCCTTAGTAAGACAACACCTAGAGAACTGCCTCCGGGTTTGGTCACCACATTATAAAAAACATGTTGAGACTCTAGAAAAAGTGCAGAGAAGAGCAACCCGGATGATGAGGGGACTGGAGGATGAAACATAGGATGAATGTTTAGCATGGCTAGTCTAGTAAAGAGAAGGACCAGGGGAGACATGATAGCGGTCTTCCAATATTTGAGGGGCTGCCCCAGAGAGGAGGAGGAAGGGGTCAAGCTATTTTCCAAAGCACCTGAAGGCCAGATAAGGAATAATGGATGGAAACTGAATAAGGAGAGATTCAACCTGGAAATAAGGAGAAACTCTGACAGGGAGAACAATCAACCCATGGAACAGAAGTTGCCTTCAGAAGTTGTGGGAGCTTCATCCCTGGAGGCTTTCAAGAAGAGATTGGGCTGTCATCTGTCAGAAATGGTGTAGGGTCTCCTGCTTGGGCAGGGGGTTGGACCTATAAGGTCCCTTCCAACTCTGATTATCTGTTAATCTGTAATTCAAGGACTACCTCTATATCCAGGCTGAGTGTGATGCGCCCCACCTCCAGGAAGGGGAGGAAGGGGATTGTACACCTGGAAGGAGAGAAGGACTTCTGGTGGACAACGGGGGCCGACGAGGGGTACCAATTTCCAAGCTGCCACACTGCTCTCCCACCTTTCCATTGGCCACTCTAAAAAAAACACCATAGAAATATTTTACGAGTTGACATTCGGCTCCCCTCACTTCTTGAAGGTCATCTGTACAACACAAAAAGAAAACAAAGGACTTAAGGTTGCGAACCACCACCAGGCTTGGTTGGGTTTCCTGCATGGAACCTTGTCCCAAGGCGATCAGCTTGGATGTTCCTTGGACAACGGGGGACAGATGAGGGATCCCCATGGGAAATCCCAGGGGACGGTTACCGATCCCGTCCCGTTTCTCGCTAGGCTTCAACCTCTCATCCAGATGGATATGGATTCCGTCACCAAGGCTATGGCGTTATAGTTGCCTCTTCCTCTCCCTCCCTCATTAACCCCTCCATCACCCGAATGTCTTCTCATTTTCCCACCAGGCTCGGACGTCGTGGACTGGCTCTACCACCACGTGGAAGGCTTCCAGGACCGCCGCGAAGCCCGCAAGTACGCCAGTAACCTCCTGAAGGCTGGCTTCATCCGCCACACTGTGAACAAGATCACCTTCTCCGAGCAGTGCTACTACATCTTCGGCGACTTCAGCAGCTGCGAGAACTGTAAGTGTCTTGTCTCGTCTCGTCTCGTCTGGAGAGGACAAAGAAAAAATGTGACTGTACAGCTTTATTTTTCTCTCTCCATTGAGCTAACTTCCTTAATAGAAGGCGGGAACGAAGGAGATGTAATATATCTTGACTTCAGTAAAATGGGGGAGAGGGGGAAGCTGGCTGGGGAATTCTGGGAGTTGAAGTCCACTGGTCTTAAAAGTTGCCAAGTTTGGAGGTCCCTGTTTTACGACATTATTTTGTGTACCACAGGAATGGAATGGAATGGAAAATAGAAAAAAAGAATAGAGTAGAGTAGAGTAGAGTAGAATAGAAGAATAGAATAGAATAGAATAGAATAGAATAGAATAGAATAGAATAGAATAGAATAGAATAGAATAGAAGGGAAGGGAGCGGGAATGAGAATGGAATGAAAATGGAAGTAGAAATAGAAGTAGAAATGGAATTAGAATAGAATAGGAATAGGAATAGAATTGACGGAATAGGAATAGAATAGAATGAATAGAATAGAATAGAAAGAATAGTAGAAGAATAGAAATAGAACTGAAAGGAACCTTGGAGGTCTTCTAGTCCAGCCCCTTGCTCAAGCAGGAGAATCTATACTGTCTCAGGCAAGTGACTTTCCAATCTCTTCTTAAGATAATAAGAATAATAACTTCCTTAATAGAAATTATTAGAATTATTTTTAGATAGATTATTAGAATTATTAGAAGA